TGGTTGCAAGCACTCTACCACTGAGCTACATCCCATCCCGTGTCATGCCTATTTCCATTTGTTTCCCAAAATTACCCTGATCTTTACTGAACATTGTCGCCGATCGCCTAAAGTCTTTACCTCAGGGCTGTTACCCACATGTCAGATGAGTCTCCATCTCCATGTGATATCAGTAGCATTAAGTGACTCTGGAGAAGTAGAAGCGGGTGCTGGAAGGCAACGGCTGATTAGTCCAGGGAGACACACCTAACTTGAAGGTAAAGAGACTCAGCTCCATCTCCTCTGATCTCCAGTTTTCATCCAACTCCAACAACTTATGTGTTCTCAAGTAAGTTCCCTCTTAAGATCGAATGACCTACTATTGTGGGCTAAACCATGTCTGCCCAAAACTCTAACTCTCAGAACGACTATATTTAAGGATAAGAGCTTTATGGAGGCAACTAAGGTTAATTGAGACCATATATGAGAGAAATGTATCCTCACAAGAGGCAAAGATGCTATAGATCTTGGTTGACACATGTAAGACGGCCACAGGAGGACCCAAAGAGGGGCCACCTTCAAGGCAGGAACAGGGGCCTCACCAAAATCAAACTGTGCAAATTCCTTGACTTTGTATTTCTAGCTTCTAAGCAGTGAGAAAATGTGTGCTCTTAAGCCACCCAAATTAAAGCATTTTGTTATAGCAGCTCAGGTGAACTGAAATCTTTAAGTCATAAGACCTTCTTCTTTAAAGTCTTTCATGTACCAATCAAAAAACATGATACCCTAAACCTACACTCCACCGCACCTTGCTTATCACCCCATATACCCTTCAGCAATGCCAGGGGCAGGGCCAGGGATCCAGCTGATTTCCCAGGGCACCAAAATTATATAATAAAAAAAATCAGTAATTAAGACAAATATCATTTTAATTAATTATGAACAAAAATGTTATGAAGAATCGGCTGCTTTGTAGCTTGGCTCCTAGCAAGACAGTTGCTGTTAGCCAGCCTTCTGTCACTGAGACAAAATACTTACGAGAAAAATTCAAAGGGGGAAGCATTTCATTTTGGTTTGTGGTTCCCAAGGTCTCATGCCATGACAGCTGGGTCTCACAGCTTTGGCCTGAGAGGAGGCCGAACATGGGAGAAACAGTGATGGAACAAAGTCACTCACTGCATTGAGCTGGGAAGCAGAGTGACCAAGAAATAGGTTCAGGACCTTTTCTGTGGCAGGCACTTGGTGATCTACTTCTTCCAGCTAGGATCCACTGTCCATCACCTCAAAGCCATCAGTGAGCTTGTTCCCTAGTTCAAGTGGAGCCTCACAAGCCAATACTTTCCCAAAGCCAGTCAGCTGGCCATGAAGCCCATAACATAAGACTTTGTTCAACATTTCAAAGCCAAATCCTAAAAGTCAAGAACCATTTTTCCTTGACTTTTCTATATACATGAGTCCCCTGTGAGTGGACCCCAAATTCTACGTTTGAGATAAAGGAACTACCCTTGTCGCCATTATAGATTATGAAGACATTGCAGTAATAAACAGTCGTGGCTGAACACTGGATGAATTATAGACTTAGAGTGCAGTGTACAATAGTGCACAGGGCAGATGAGATGATAACCTCCTGGGGGAGGGGGGCAGGCAGCAGGGAGACTAAAAGCAAAACAGGGACAGTAAGGAGCCATTGCACTAGGGATATAAGTGATGCCTGCAAAGGACAGTGGATAACATTACACCAGAAGGATACTGATGCTCACAGCATCAGAGGGAGCCATCTAGACACTAGTGATACTGAGCAGCAACTTGCCCTAAGCATCATGACCCAGGAAGCTCCTGATAGTCTGTAAAACAATGAAGCCCCTTTCTCATACTATCTGATCCACTGGCAAATTCTGTTGGTTCCATGTTTAAAATAGATAGGAGATTCCCACCACTTCTTGACAGGACTGTTTCTGTCTCCTCACGTTAGCTAAAGTGGCTTTCACCTTCTCCATGCTATGGATGGAATCAGAGGTATCCCATTAAAAAGTAAAGTTGATCATGCCACCTTGCCAATCAGACCTACCATTGCTGTTCCCCCATTATCAGAGTCAATAGATCTGCCCCCACAACATTGCCTCTCCCTGAGCTCTCTTCCCCTCATAACAACTCTGTAATTCATTGATCTGGCCTATTGATTGTCTTAGTCAGTGTTCTATTGCTGTGAAGAGACCCTATGACCATGACAACTCTTATAAAGGAAAACATTTAATTGGGGTAGCATGTTTACAGTTCAGAGGTGCAGTCCAGTATCATTGTATGGGACATAACACATACATGCAGACGTGTTGCTGAAGAAGGAGCTGAGATCCTACATCTTGATCCACAGGCAGCAAGAGGAACCTGTGTCCACAGTGGGCATAGCTTGAACATAGGAGACCTCAAAGTCCACCCTCACAGTGACATACTTCCTCCAACAAAGCCACACCTCCTAATAATGCCACTTCCTATGAACTTATGGGGCCAATTACATTCAAATCATCATATCGACCGTATTCCAAACCTAACAGTTCCTCAAGGTGAAATAAGTCAGTCTGAAAAGACAGACAATGGCTGATTCCACTTATATGAGGATCCCAGAATAGTTAAACTCATGAAGACTGGCCGGGGAGAGGGGTTATTGTTACAGAGATTCAATTTGCAGGTTGGGAACTTCCTTGGATGGGTTGTTGTAGTGAGTCACAGTGTCTGACTATAAATAATACCACTGAGCTAGACACATACAAATGGCTATAGTAGAAATTGTGTGTTTAGAATATATCATTCACACTCTCTTCAAAAACTATTCCAAGTCAGTCATGTAATCTCAGAACTTGAGAGACTGAGGCAGGAGGATCAGGCCATTGTAGACTACATAGACAAACCACAAAAATAACTATGGTGGAAAGTTATAAAACCAAATAATGTTAATGAGATGAACACATTCTTAAATGTATGCAAGCCACCGGAACTGATTAACAAGCAATTAGAAAACCTTAATGGGCATGGTGGACACTAATGGCTAATCCAAACCCTCCCACTAGCTGAATACATAATAAGTAAATCTTAAAAAAAAACGGGCATGCATGAGAATTCCTTGGGGTGGTTGGATATTGCTGGCTATGGATAATGGGATTTGCCAAGATAGCCAAGTCCCTCTATTCCAGGGATACATAGTCTTTGGAATGAACTGGGACTGAACATAGAGCCTTCAGGACATTATTAAGTCATTCCATTTGTACATGGATGTTGCCAAAGGCATTGTCAATGGCATCCTCACACAAACCCCAGGATCCTGAAAAAGACCTGTGGCATATCTGCCCAAGAGACTTGACCCAGTCACAGCTGGATGGCCACCATGTATATAGTCCATAGCTTCCACCACCCTGCTGATAAAAAGAAACTGACAAATTAACTTTAGGGTACAAACAGTTCCTGATGGCCCCATACTCTGTTGAGGCCCTCTTGAGGGGGACACCAGAGAGATGGATGTCTAACGTTGAGATGACCCAATACCAAGCCCTTCTTCTCTATCAATACCACATTCTGTTATTCAATCCTGCCAAGCTTCTGTCAGACAAGGATCTTATGGTTCCTCTGCATGACTTGAGATGACTGACCCGATCCAGACTATCTGAGCACAATCTTTAAGCCAGGGACCTCAGCTCAAGGAGCTAAGCTTTTACTCTTACTCAAGCACTCCACTTAGAAAAAAACAAAGCTGTTACCATATACACTGACAACCAACATGATTTGCCACAGCCCATGTTCATGGGGCTCTATACAAGGCAAGAGGAAAAGAAAGCATCAGGAAAAGAAAGCAAAAAATAGAGAAGAAATCTTAGCCCCATTGGAATCTGTCTGGTTACCCAAAGAGGATGGTTATCTGTTTCTAAGGATACCAAAAAGAGGATTCCCCAGGAGCCAGAAGCAACTTGGCTACCAAGGAAATAGTCCTAAGATCAATGGGGCCTCCCAAAGTCTTGGTAGTCCTTCCAGATCCCAGCTTATGGATCATCAAGAATACAGCCAAAGGGAGAATGACTGGGCAAAGAAAGAACTAGCCACACAGACAAACAAGGATGGAGGATGCTACCAATCACAGACCATCCTTTGTACAAGTCTGGGAAGGTGACTGGTTACAGATGTCCACACAACCACCCACCTAGAGGCCATGAAAACTGCTGAACTTCTCAGACCCAGGTATTACCTTTCAAATTTGGGGAGCCTTGTTAAAGACATCACCTTTAGACATGCCACCTGTGCTCAGATAAACCCCAGAGTGGGACTGGAGGAAATGGGCTTAGGGACTTGGAGTTGGGCTTATAGAAATCAGGTGGATTTGGTGGATGGGTGGAATCCTACTCCACCCAAACAAGCCATGCCATTCCATAAGTAATGAAGTTCTTTGTCTCTGGCTTAGGAGCCTCATGCCTCGAACCTCCACAACACTCATGGACACATCATCTGAAAGCTTGTGAGTAGCAAAAAATCTCAACTTTCCACAGTTTCTGAGCAGTCTCTCCTCTTTTGTCCTGACCATTACTCAGGAAGCATCAAAGGGAGGATGCTAGTTGTGGAACCTGGGAAAAGGTGAAAATAATAGAGTCAGAAATGTCTTGTTCCAGGGCTTGAAAGATGGCTCAGTGGTTAAGAGCACTTGTTGCTCTTGCAGGGAACCAGGGTGTTCACACCATCTGTAACTCTAGTTCCAAAGGATCCAAGACCCTATTCTGATCTCTGTGGATACCAGACACACATGTGGTACACATACGACTGAAACAAAAGCCTCTTGTACACATTAAATAAAAATAAGTAGCCAGGTAGTAGTGTCGCAGGCCTTTAATCCCAGCACTCGTGAGGCAGAGAAAGGCAGATCTCCATGAGTTCAAGGCCAGCCTTCTCTACAGAGTGAGTGCTAAGACAGGCTCCAAAGCTACACAGACAAACTCAAAAATAAACAAATAAATGAATAAATAAATAAATAGTCTAAAAACAAGTTGAATTTTGAGAGCCTTTAATTGTGAGGAGAGATAAAGTTCCATCGGAGGCTTGACTATCAGGTTACCACTAACTGTCAGGAAAAATGGGCTCCCATCGTCCCAATGTGAATATACAAAAGCCAACAGAACCTGCATCTGTGGCTTCATAGACCACAGCATCTGGCATGAGTTGATGGATCAGAATAGAACCTGAAAAATGTCAACAGGGTGAGGCACCAGCTCCAGGAAGGTCAAGGGTGCAACACCATGGGTGCTGGAATCAGTTGAGGGTACTGTTCTCTGAAACTTAGTCAGCCTTGAGAGGACAGGAAGGGCAGACAGTTGGAAGACATGACCAAAGTGTAGCTCTGCACAGTTTCATCAACATTACAGGGATTTCCAGGACAAAAGCAACCCACCCCAGAGGCATCCCTGAAACAAGATGCGAATCTGCTGTGCACAGCCACTTCCCGGAACATAGCAGGAGAGCACAACCACTTCCTGGGCACACCAGGAGAGCACAGCCACTTCCTGTAGCATAACAGGAGATCACAGACACTTCTGGGGCACACCAGGAGAGTATGTCCTTGGCATGAAGGAAGCAGCAGATCTCAGCTCAGGGTCCACCAGCAAGAGACACATCCAATTGTGGACTACACACAGAAAATCCGAGAAATGCAAGCAGATGTGATTAGTAGACAAGATCTTGTGGCAACTTAGATACATCACAAAAGCAAAGGAGGTGAAGTGTGCCCTGGCCACAGGAACAGGAAAGAAACAAAGGAGGCAGAGTCTGCATGGCTAAACAGAAAGCAGAACTGCTAATGCATGCCTGCATGTGTGTGGGGGTGTGTGTTTTCAATAAATTCAAGGAAAAAAACTAGGCAGCCTGTAAATTATGCTTTAATAAGGATCCTTAACTGGGCATTGGTGGCACACACCTTTAATTGCAGCACTCAGGAGGCAGAAGCAGGCAGATCTCTGTGAGTTTGAGACAAGCCCGGTCTACAGAGAGAGTTCCAGGACTGTGTCCAAAGCTGCAGAGAAACTCTGTCTCGAAAAACAAACAAACAAAAACATAAAAAGGATTCTTTGTGAGCTGAGCATGGTGGCCTGTTCCTGTAATCCCAGCACCAGAGGCATAAACCAAATGAGAATCTCAGGCTATCATGGGCCAAGCAGGAAGAATTGAAAAACTTGAATACAAGAAACTTGGAAACACCCTGTATACCTTTAGATATAAATGGTTGGGTGTCTCTGGTTTGGCCACACTGTGCAACACCACTCAGAAGGAACAAACTCCTGAGACATAGGGCGGTGACATGGATGGATCTCCAGAGAATTGTGGCTGTGAACAAGGCGGTCTCTGAGCTTACACAGCCTGGGCATGGTAGGGAAGGCCTCTAACTCCAGCATTTAGAGGGCTCCAGGTCAGCTTGGACTCCATGGCAAGGTCCTATCTCAAAAACAAACAGAAAGGACACTTTGAGCAATTGAACCCCTTCTTAAAAACTCTCAAAGTCCAATCATACGTACATATGGTCTTTCAGTTGACCTCAGCCAAAGCAACACTTGTAAGGTTCTTCAATGTATTAGATCATCTTTGTTTTTCTCCCTGACCAAAACTCCAGCCTGAGGATGTCATTTGGGATCCTTTTGTCTATGAGACACAGACAAAGAAGAAAAAGGGAGGAGAAGCAGCTCCCTTCTTCTCATAGCTGAATAAAACCTCCGACAGATTGCCCAGGGCTCACATCAGTAAAGGGGGGAAAGAACAGCATGCTTAGCTGAGTCTAGAAAGCTCATCATTAGTACCCTGCCACTACCCACCCATGTGTCAGTTATTCACACACTTGAAGGGCACAACTTAATTTAGTATTCTTCACACAAGTTACCAGCATTGCCATGAGCTAGGTTTAGGATATCCTCATCATTCCAAATAGAAACTCATTATCAGTCACTTTCCTAAAAATTTTACACAAACATCACGCACACACACACACACACACACACACACACACATATATGTATGTATATATATTCACACATGCATACACACATACACACCATATATGCACACATAACACAGCTACAGTACACTCAAACATATACATGCACATATGTAGGCATTCACACTTACTTACACATACACACTGCTGCATATGCACATTGGTATACAGATACACACATACTACACACCCATTTACACATACATATACACATGTGCCTACACATTCACACAGATACAATACAGTCAAACACATGTGCACACATACACATACCACATATGCACATTGGTATACAGATACACATGAATGCATACACTTACACACCCATTTACACATGTATACACAAGTACCTACACATGCACACAGATACAATACAGTCAAACACATGTGCAAACATACACAATGATAGACAGATATACATGGGCACACATCATCAGTCCTTAGAAAAGCACCATATACTTACTGTCCCTGGAGATTTTGTTCTTTTGGACAATGCAGGTGAAGAGAACCATGGGTGTGGCCTGAATATTGACTGTATTCACTAGTGGGATGTTCTCATTGAGGGATTGTTATAGTAGTGTTGTAGCATATAGTGCCTCATCCTTTTCTATTACTTACAAGACCCCCACTGCACTGGTAGACATATTATTCCCCTCATTCATCATTTGGTGATTATGTAATCCATTTCTACTTTTTGGCTATTAAGAATAATACTTCTTGGGGGCTGGAGAGATGACTCAGAGGTTAAGAGCACTGACCGCTCTTCCAGAGGTCCTGAGTTCAATTCCCAGGAACCACATGGTGGCTCACAACCACCGGTTATGAGATCTGGTGCCCTCTTCTAGTGTGCAGATATACATGGAAGCAGAATGTTGGATACATAATAAATAAATAAAATATTTTAAAAAAAGAATAATACTTCTGGAGGAAGAGAGATTGACTCAGTAGTTAGCATTTCTTGCTCCTGCAGTGGCCTAGAGTTCAGTTCTTGGGGGTTGAGTTCCAAGCATTCACCTGGTGTCTTGACAACATGCCACAAATGTACGGTGGAATTTTGTTTATGATCTAATAAATCTTGCCTGGAGATCAGAATGCAAAGCTAGCCACACTAGCTAGCCATAGAGGCCAGGCAGTGGTGGCACACACCTTTAATCCCAGCATTAGAGACACAGAGGTAGGCGGATCTCTGTGAATTCAAGACCACCCTGGGCTACACGAAACTGATCCAGTCCAAAAGAGAAACAGAACTCACACAAAGGTGATCTCAGCACTTGGGATCCCACGCCTTTTATCCCAGCACTAGAAAGGAATGTATAAGGTAGAAGACAGGAGCTCAGTGCCGTTTGAGGAGCAGTGAAGTCTGGAGAAGGAGTCTGAGGACAGGTCGCCCCTTTGGTCTGAGGTAGAGGTAAGAGCTAGTGCCTGGCTACTTTGCTTCTCTGATCTTCAGGCAAGCTGTATTTGTTATATCATAAACAAAATATCACCACAGCCTTGTTCTGGCTCCTAAGGGCCCAAGGGGTGCACATCATGCACATGCATATATACAAGCAAACACTCATACACATAAAATAAAAATAAGTAATGCTTAGAAAGACTACTGCTAAGAACATCCCTGTAGAAGCTAGAGTGAACTTATCTACTACCTCAAATAATTCCTGCTTCCTTGCAATGAAAACATTTAAAATCTTGAGTTCTTTGAAATACATGTGTGCTACCACCTACAGTCCCCTTTAGGTATGTAAGGAAGCCAGCACTTGGTGCTGATCTGACTGTAACTCCGACTGGTTACATCATCAGTCAGTATTTCTTCCCTCCTGTCCTCTCAGCCCTTTGGCTAAGGTCCAGTGCACTATCTGTCCTTAGGTTGTCTTTGGGACAGCTGTCATTCTGGAGGGCTGGAAGTGGAGTTTTGACTTATAATTCCCTAATGACTAACAAGGAGCATCTCCCATTGTTAAGTGGCCATGCTTAGCTCTTCTTTCAACATGTGTCTGTTCAAACTTTTTTGTTGTTTTCATTTTTCATTATTATTGTTAGCTGATGAGAGTTCTTTACATGTTATGGACATCAGCTTCTTATAAGACAAGTGATTTGTAACTACAATATTCTCTCCCATTCTGTAATCTGCCTTCTCACTTTCCTGATTTACACCACAAATGACTTTCATTTTTAGATTTTATATTTTACTTACTTTTTTTCCTATCTGTGCTTGTGCTTTGGTACCATGACTGAACTATGACTTACTTATGCATTTTCTTTGAAATGCTGAAGGGTTTTTTTTACCCTTACACATTGAGTTGACTTTGTGTACAAGGAGGTTTGATTGCCTTCTTCGGAGTGTGGATACCCACTTCCTCTAGTAGCACTGCTGGTCAAAGTGCTGCTCTTTCTCACATTGAGCTGTGTTAACTTTCAGCAGAAATAATTCCACTCCTCTACGGCCACAATCTGAGGGGACAGTCAGGACCATGAGGACCATGAGCTCAGTCTGCTCCCTTCACACAACCTCCAGGACTACTTCTTTTGTGGGACAAACATTTGTTAACAAATGCAAGAACTGCCTTAGCCTTGCTGAGCTCCTCGATAACTCAAACCACTTTTGTTTGCTACAAATATTCCGTGCTGTGAAGACTGCCACTGGCTCTTGTTGGGAAACTGGGCACTGATCTTCCTGTCTTACCCATGACCTCTCCCAATAAATGAATTTATTAATTTCCACGAATTGTTATGGCTGGTGGGAGGTGTGTGACTGGAAAGTACAGGCTGCCAGGAGAAGGCCACAGAGCTTGTCCTCCTGACTTCAGAATTGCCTTGGCCCCTGTGAAGCTGTGTTAGCCCTCGACCTTCCACCTTAGTGCCCAGAAGACCAAGGGCACACCCGTGCCTTTTAAGCCACACTTATTATGGAATTTTTAAGACATCAAATGAAATTTTTGCCTTGAGGGTGATTCAGAGAAAACTAGAGCTGGAGAAGATGGTGAATAAAAACAGAATTCAATCAGTACTATAGCAACAGGGGGTGGGGGGAAACCTTGGTGGAAACACCATAGTTTGGAAAGTGGGGTCCTTTCCAAAATAGAATGCCCACAGTCTTACTAGAGACATGGCAAAGAGGCCAGATCTCCCATGGAAATGAAGCAGGTGATCAGAGACATGGGGTGGGAGAATGTGGCCACACCAAGTTTTCTGGATTCAATTGTGTGATACAGAGTTGACACAGAACTCAAAAAGCCAAAGCCCAGTGTGGGAGAGGACAGAGGAGGCTGACAAAAGTTTGGTGAGGGAGAGAGCTGCTGCAGCCACGTCAAGTGACTGCTGAACTCACAGCCCACATAAAAGTGCTGGAGGATAAGGCTGGTAAATCCCTACAACCTACTGACCAACCTATTTAGCCGACTTGGTGACTTCCGGGATGGTGAAAAACAACCCTGTCTTGAAAAAACAAGGTAGACAGTGCCTGGGGAACAACAACTGAAGTTGTCCCCTAATTGCCACATACATAGACACACATGTACCTGAATGTACACACACACACACACACACACACACACACACACAC